CGCCCAGCCTGCTCTCTGGGGACCTGCACCCTCAGGCTTTCTGCAGCCCCAGGGAGAGCCCAGACAAAAAGTTCCAAAATTAGAACAGTCAGCTAATTGCCAGAGCCCAGCAGGGCCCTGGTTGTGGGCCAAGCTGGAGAGGCTCACAGCCTCCTTAGCACCCCTAGGAGGAGGAGCCGCTGGGGCCTGAGGCCTGCGCGAGTGGCGGCCTGGTTCCCAGACGCGGTCTCAGCTCGGGCTCCTTCTCCAGGGAGGATGGCCCATGCTCTGCCCAGGGCACTCGCCCCTCAGGGCCCCCGTGCAGCCCAGGGCAGCCCCCATGGTTCTGTGGCCGATTTCCAGGCAGCAGAAGGCAGGGGCTTGATGACCTCTGGGCCTGGCGCCGAGGGACAGGACTAGCCAGGGCCACCAGCAGCTTGTCCCCAGCAGGCTGTCAACCTCAGTGGCCCATTTGGAAGACCTGCGATGGCGCGCCCAGGGCTGAGGCTGCTGCCCCCTGGGCCTCTCCATCTGCCGCGGGCTATTCTTCTAGCGGGTTAGGGCGCCGGGTGTGCTCGCCCGCGGGCCCAGCTGCTCCGGCCGGCCTCACACCTGCTGGGGTCATCATTCCTGCTTGACAGGACAGGGCTTAGGTGTCTGGAGAAGTAAGAACCCAGGCCACCCTCCTGTGGCTGTCCCTGAACTCCGCCTGAAGGAGCTTCCCATGGGGTGGGGGCTCGGGCAGCAGAGGCCATGTGACCTTGGTGACCTTGGGGCCTCAGTCCCACAGCCCCTGAGGTTCCCTTGTCACTGCCCTTTAGCCCTAAGCCCCAGGTCTGCCAGCCCCTCCTCCTCCTGGGGTGCCTGGCCCCGGGGCTCATCCCTGCCCTGTCTCTGAGCACGGGGAGAAGAGCCAGGGACAGGCCCCGGGTGAGCTGCAGGGGTGGGCAGGCCAGGCGGGGCCTGCGGCTTTGTGGCCCGCCACATCCCGTGGGTCTCTCTGGGTCCTGCCTAGAGTCACTTTGGGTGGGTTCTACAGATAATTAGAAAGCACCTGCTCCAGGTCCCCTGCTGGACCTGTGTGGGACACAGAGGAGCAAGGTGCCCCGGTGGGCACTCAGCGTTCCCCGCCTGAGGCGAGCGCAGCCTGCAGCTTCCTGGAGGCTTCCACTCAGCAGAGGTCACCTCCTAGGAGGCGGGGGGGAGGTGGCGCCCATGGCCATCACACTCTCTGCTGTGCTCGGGGGTGGGGACGGGCACTACAAGCTGCTTCTCCGTGCCCCCCATCCCAGGGTCTTCCTCCATGGGGTCTGCGGACCCCCACTGTGCTCGGCAGGGCGCTGGGCTCTGTGACAGTCAGCGCCTCAGGTCGCGGGCCCAGACGTGCCTGGTGTGCCCCGTGCCCCTGGCTGCGTGGCTGCTCCATGGCTGGGCCTATCTTGCTGGTCGTGGCCACTGACCAGGGCCCATGTTCAAAGAAAGGTCTCAGCAGGACCCTGTGCCCATCCTCTTCCAGGCCCCCTGAGCCTGGCCGCCCTGGCCAAAGTGTCCCTGGGGGTTGGTATTCTGTGGCCAGCTGGAAGCCACTCTGGGCTGCCCTTCATGCTGGAGGAGGGAGCAGCTGGCCACCATCCTGCATCTCCAGGCTGAGGAAGGTGGGAGCCCAGGACACTGTGTCTCCCTGTCAGGAGAGCAGCAGCCTTTGGAGGGAACGCAAGGCTGGAGTGAGGTGCACGTGGTCGCCCCTGGTCGGCTCAGAGAGGCTGCGCAGGCTGGCAACATTATCTTTTGAAGTAAAAAAAAAAAAATTAATTGACTCCATCTGTGTTGGCCTAATGACTGATTAAATGACTAATCACGGAAGTCTTAATTAAACCCATTTTTCTCTGAGCCGGAGAGGAGAAGGGGTTCTGTCAGCCTCCAGCGTGTGTCAGGCACCAGGCGAGCTGGCCCTCTGCTGAGAGCCACCAAGGAGCAACTATGCCCAAGGTCACCCAGGGCTAGCTTCTCCTGCACATCGCAGGGCTGACTGGACCAGGCTGGGCTGATGGGCTTGCAGGCAGACGCATTTTTCCATCACCAAGCTTGCAATTAGGATTGCTGGGGGAAATGCAGGCAGAGCTGTGCTGCTCTTTGGAATGCTGGTGTGCGGCTGGGAAAAATCAGGGCCACGTCCACTAAATCAAGTCCGTTTTCTGCAGCTGACACGATTTCACGTCACTCGGGGACTGACAAGAGCTCTTGGTCGCGCTGTGGAATTCCGTAACGGGCCTGGAATGTGTCCGCAGGAATGCAGCCGGGGGCCCTCCACAGAAACGTGCTCCCTCCCGGGGAAGCAGGCAGCCGGGTCTGGGGGAGCCTCCACCCACCCCTTCAAGGAGGCCGCCCGCCCGGCTCCCCTCTCCTGAGCCGGTCCTGGGCACAGGGAGCATGGTGAGGCAGCAGTCCAGGGCCTGGACTCTGAGGATGCAAGCAGCCCCTCCTGAGGCAACAGGAGCGCTCCTGGAGCCCAGGATCCCCTCAGGTGTGCGGCTCCAGACGGGCAGCCTGGACTATGCGTGGCAAGGCCTGGGGTGGCCCTGATCTTACCAGAGGCAGGAGTAACAGCAGGAGTAAGGGTGCTTCTGGTCTCCTAGCAGATGGTCCAGGACCTCTGCACTGGCCTGTCCATGCGGGGCCCTTGCTGCAGGCTCCCCTCGTCAGGCCATCTTGCACACCGTGACCTGGTCTGCAGGCCTCACACGGGAGGCTGGGTTGGCAAGCCAGGCACGGACCTCTATGCCCAGACACTGTGCCCACACTGGGGCACGGTGTTCGTGGGACCCTCTGCCTCTCTTTCCTCCATCGAGACCCCGGATTCAGGAAACACAAAGGTAACTTCTCTTATCCCAGGAGAGATTGCAGAAGCATGCTGGAGGTGAGGCAGGGGCCAGGGCTTCTCCAGCCCTCCTCCCTCCTGTGACTCAGAGCCAGCTGCTCCTCTGGAATTTCAGGCTGGTGTGTCCCTGTCACTCTTGGGAGGTGCAGGGGCGCCCTCTCACTCCCTCCTATGGTTGGAAATCTTCGGATACAGCGGTGGCTGCTGATGTGGGCACAGGTTGCTTTGGGGGAGGATAAGTGAGGTCTGCTGGGGTGTCCAGGGTGTCCAGCAGGTGAGCACAGGCAGGGAAGCTGTGAGCTGCCTGCCCGCCCCAGTAGGCCGTTGGGTGCTGAGGGTGGCATCCGTCTACAGAGTGGCAAGAGAGGGGACACTGTAGTTATGAGGGCCACAGGGTCCCCGGGACTGTAGCTCAGCCTGGCTACCTGTGGCCACTGTTCCTGGATGCCAGCGGCAGAGTGAGTCCACCTGTTCTGGCCCGCACCTGGCCCCTCTGCAGCATGGCAGCACCTGGACTCTGCTCCGTCCCTACCTCGAACCTCCTGGGAGGGACACAGAAGCCGACTCCCATGTCCTGCTGGCCTCTTCCCACTGATGCTAAATGCCAGGCAGGCTGCCACTGACCTGACCACTCCTCACTGGCCACTTAGGGGATGACGCAGGAGCCCATCGGGTCTGACAGGCCAACTTAGGCCACTGGAAACTGAGCTTCTGCCCTAGGGATGGAAAGGTTCCCAGGCGGCCCACGGCCTGCCTGACCTTTGCCGGCAAGGTATGAGAAGTAGCTCTGCTGGGCCAGGTGGGTGGCACACAGGGAACAGAGCTGGAGTCCCCACTTGGAAGCCTCACACATATGCCTGCCTTGCATCGTCTGGTGAAGTTGTCCCTAACTTTGGAACCCTGATGGAGCCAAGGCTGGCCAACTGGCTGAGATTACCAAGCAGGAGACACATTGTAACAGTTTGTTGCAGTCTCTCAATACCCGCATCTTAGGCCTGCGGACTAGTGAAGGCACTGGCCAGAGGTTTGGGGCTGGGGAGGTGGCTCAAGCGGTGGCGTGCTCTCCTGGGTTCGATCCTCAGCACCACATAAAAATAAAAAAGATTTGTGTCCACTGAAAACTAAAAAATAAATATTAAGAAAAAGGAGGGAAAACATCCCAGCAGTGGCTCTGGGGACATCAGAGGGACAGAGCCATGGCCCTTGGGTTCCTGGGACTGTGGGCTGAATCCCTTGGGGGGAGGTTTGGGGGCTGAACTCTGTTTATTGCCACAGGGTGAGGCCACCAGGCTCCCCTGTCCCCTGTTCCTCTCCATACCCACAGTTGCTCCCTCCAAGGAGCTCACTCTGGGATGGAGTCAGACCAGAGAAGGAAGGAGGGCGGAGGAAAGAGGGACAGAGGGAGGGAAGAAGAGAGGGAAAGAGGAAGGGGGGAGGAAGGACAGAGGGAGAGAGGAAGGGGGGTAGGAGGGTGGGAAGGAAGAGCGAGGAGGCACAATCAGGAACTGTGATCCCAGGGGCGGTGACTGACCTGGCTGGGCTGGGCGTAAGGGAAATGGGGGGCCACCAGTGATGGCGATCTCTGAGGGCCCCTGGAAGAGCTAGAAAGGGGCTTCCTCCGGAAACTGGGCACTAAGCTGGAAAGGGGAGGTCATGTGTTGGGTGGGGTGGCAAGAACATTCTAGACAGAAGGTGCAGAGGTGAGCAGGATGGAGAGGTCAGCTGGCAGCTGCTCCTGGTGTGGGCAGTGAGAGTGAGGGTCTCTGGGCACTGGTGGCAGAATCCCAGCTCAAACTCCTGCTGGTGAGGGCTGAGTCCTGAGGACAGTGGAGACCCTGGCCTGCCTCCCTCCCACACCACAGGGGTCTTGCCCTGGACAAAGTGTCAGGAGCATTCATTCCTCAGCCCCTGCCTGGCCACTGGTGGGCAGCAAGCCCTTGGCACACCCTGCCTGGGAGAGGGACTCAGGAATGACACCTTCAGAACTTCCTGGGTTTCTCATGTGCAGACCAGAGGTGGGCTCGGAAGGTGCTCCTGCTTCTGCCTGGACACAGGCTGGGCTGCTCAGAGCACGGCTTCCTGCGTTCTGCAAGGTGGGGTCCTTGGGTTGGCGACTGCCACGGGGGGCTGGTGGGAGTGCAGGAGGCTCTGGGGCTGGGGCTGGGGTGGGCCCTGCCTGAGGCTCCCCCTTCTTCTTGGGCAAGGGTGTCACACAAACACCCACAGAGACTGAGTGGCCCCCAGGGGACAGAACTGGGGAGTCCCTGGAAGGTGACTTGAGGTCAGTGTGCAGTGTGTGGGCAGCGGAGGCCACGGGGCTGGAGGGAAGCCTGGGGAGCTGGCACAGGAATGAAGCCATGCCAGGGCCCCAGGGGTGCACCTCACAGCTGGCCCCCCCAGAGGGAGAACAACTCTGGGAGAACTCAGGATTAAAAATCGCTCTGGGGTTTCTAAATCCAGAAAACTCTGGCTACAGAGAGCCAAGAGGCTCCCAGGGAAAACCGGCCTCACCTTGGCCTAGAGGAGGCCCTGTGCCCAGCCGGTGCCAGCGCGGCACCACAGCCCCAGGAACCCCTGAGGCTGGGAGAGACGTGGGGACTGGCTGCCAGGCACAAGCCCACTCAAGAGCTGGGATCTGTGAAGGCTGGAAAGTCCGATGTGCCGCCTGTCTTCCCTGGTCACAATAACCCCAGTGTGTGGAAGCGCTGGGTGGGCAGGCGGCAGGACGAGCTGGGGCCCCTCCGTTTCCTGGGGAGGAAGCAGGCAGCAGCAGCCTCCTGCTGGGACCAGTGTCTCCAGCCCCTCAGGCCCACTGGGCGGACAGGAGCCCCTCAGTGGCCGGATCTCGGCTGTTTCTGTCAGTGCTTCAGCTTCGCGAACGTGACTCAGAGCCGCCTGGGGATGCACCGGGCTGGCAGCGGCTCTGTCCCAGCGCCGCCTCGCAGGGCCTCAAAGGCTTGTCAGCGCGCCAACACCGTGCCAGCCTCCAGGGTCCCGGCTGGCCCACCCCCGGCGTCAGCGACGAGCAGTCTGATCGCTGGAGCAGCAGCCGGGCGTGGACTGCCGCCTCCGTCCCCAACCTCCCCTGGAAGACTCCCCTGGGGCTTCTCCACGCAGTCCCCAGCTCCCAGGCAGGCGCTCGCCGCATGCTCCCGGTGGCTCCGGCCTGCTCCCCGGGACCTAAAGCCCAGAGGCTGCGGGTCGGAGCGCGGGCGTGGCAACGCTCGGGCACCCGGGGCGCCCGGAGCCCTCCACCGCCCACGGAGCTCTTTTCTGGGCGGCTGAGGGGCAGTGTGGTACGCCCGCGCCCCGCCCACCTCGGCCGGCCCCGCCCACCTCGGCCGGCCCCGCCCACATTTCGGCCGGTCCCGCCCCGCCTCCGCCGGCTCCGCCCACCTCCGCCGGCCCCGCCCCCACCTCCGCCGGCTTCCGCCCACATTTCAGCCGGCGCCGCCCCACCTCCGCCGGCCCCGCCCACCCCATGGCTCCGCCCACCTCGGACCGCCCCGCCCGCCCGGCCCCGCGCGGCTGGGAGGACGCTGCGCAGCCGGGTCGCCGGAGCGCGCCTCTCTTTAGATCCCGAATCTCACAGAATCCTACGGGTTCCATGAGGCGGAGGTCAGAGGGAACCCCTGGCGGGTGGCGGTGGGTGCCCGCTGCTCTTCCAGAGACCCGCCCGACCTCCCTAGCTCCTGGGCCGGCCTGCAGGTGCTGAGGGCTGCGGGGTCCACCTTGCCCGGGGTCTTAGTCCGGCAGTAGGAGCGCCAGGCTCCGCGCTTCCCCCTAGTTGACAGGCAGCCCTCTAGTTGTCAGACGAAAATCCAGACGTGATTTGGGCAAGCTGTTGGTGAACTCTGAGACCCTGACCCTCGGTTTCCTCCTCTGTAAAATGGCTGGTTATGGCATCCCACTTGGGCCTGACTGCACCTGGCCTGGCACAGATGCTGAGGAAACTTGACCAGCTCGCAAGCCCCTCCCCAGGTGCCCCTGCCTCACGTGGACCTTTCCCCAGCTGGGTGAAGCCCGGGAGCCCCCTGGCTCTGCTCCACCCAGGGCCCTCCAGCCTCCTGAGACAGGCTGCAGGAGGCCGAACGCTCTCCCCTGGCAGCCAGACACAAGTGGGGCTGCACTTCCACCACCAGTCCCTGGAAGAGACCCCTTCTGGGCAGCTGCACTGTGGGCCTCTCCTGGTCACACCCAGGAAGACCCCTTGCTTGTGCAGTCCTCTGTGTCAGGGGAGACTGAGGCATGCGGGGGGCCAGGCCCAGGGGATGGTCAGAGCCAAAGGCTCCCCCAGGACCTGGTGGGAAGACCAGAGCTGGCCCTCTGGAACCCCTGGAGTGGGGTCTACCTCCTACCTGCTGCCTCCTGCAGCCTCCTGGGCGGTGGGCATCTCTCTGGGCTTACTGCCAGCCTTCTAGAGGGTTGACAGGAGGAGAGAGAAGCAGGCTCAGAGAGGCCTGGCCAGGGGCTCCATGGACGCACTGTGTGGGCAGTGAGCCTGTGCTACCTCATGGGGGCTGTGCAGGAACAGGAAGGGCTGGCGTCCAGCCGGAGGAGGCCCCAGGAGCAGGTCCCGGAACTCAGCACAGCCTTGCTCCACCCGCTGCCGAAGGTCCTCGGGACAGTGGCACTGGCCTCCCCTGGCTGAGAGGAAAGAAAGGAAGGACCCTTGAGTCATGGAACAGCCAGCCAGAACCTTCCACAAAGCTCTTCTGAAGTGTGTCTCGAGCGTGGGGCGGGCTGGGTGCAGACGGCCACATGGGCTGGGAGACAGCCCAGGGCGCTGGCCATCCGCCAGCTCCCATGACCATGTGGGCAGAAGGTGGAACCCGGCAAAGGATGGACCTTTGTCCTGTGTCTCACTTTGTACCAGCCAAGTGTACAGGAGTGTGGACAGGCAGTGTGGACAGGGAGGGTAGACAGGGAGGGTGGACAGGCAGTGTGGACAGGGAGGGTGGACAGGGAACTGTAGACAGGGAACTGTAGACAGGGCAGTGTGGACAGGGCAGGCAGGCTCTGTGGTGGGTGAATTTGGGGTCCCACACCTCCGCCCCTGTCTGGGCTCCAGCATAGCTCCCCGTAGGCCAGCTTTGGGCTGGGGTGGGCCGCACCTCCATTTCTCTCAGCCGAGGTGTCCAGCTTTTATTTAAGGCCTGGCAGGGACACAGGACAGAGAGGCTGGTGCTCAGCCGTGAAAGCCGAGCTGAGCCCTCTTCTCTCCACAGGGGGAGATGGGAAGCTTCTGCTCCAATGTGGCTTCCCGCTGGGCCTCCTGTAGGCCCCAACCACCGCAGATAGAGGCAGGAGCTCGGGCAGGGGCAGCCCCACTGGAGCAGCAGCCCCAGAAGACCTGGAGCGGGCAGAGGGCTGGTGCCCTTTGCAGACCCTGCCCATCTTGGCTCTCTCCTCTCCAGGGTCCCAAGGTGTGGCCGATCAGGGGTGCTGCCTGCCCACCACTGGGGCTGCAGCCCTAGCACCCCCTTCCTCCTCTGATACAGAAAGCAGCTCGGCGGAGGGTGAGCATTTGCATGCTAGGCTGGTGCAGGGGTCCTGGGAGCCCCCCGGGTGTGTGCATGGGCGCACGCAGGCACGCACACACACACAGACACACATGTACACACACACACACAGACACACATGCACACACACACACACAGACACACATGCACACACACACACACACAGACACACATGCACATGCATCAGAAACCACTTTCCTATGGGGGCTGGGCTTGAGGACCCTCCTGACAGCCTCCACCCTGATATTCCTGAGAAGGCTGGAGGCAGGGAGGTTCTGAAGGGGGAGCCTGGGCGAGGACAGTGGCCTCAGCCATAATGGAGGGTCCCCAAGGCAGTGACACAGTGAGACACAAGGGATGGTGCTTGGTAGCAGATGGAAGGTGGAGCAGGGGGTGCACCCAGGCAGGGATGGAGCAGGGCCTGGAGAGGGGTTGGCCAGGGCCCAGTCTGTCTGACCCAGCTTCACTAGAGGCAGGGGACATTACAGACGGGGTGGGGTCTGCAGGCAGGACCCCACTCGAGGCTCTTGGGGCTGGTTCCCTTGGTGAGTGGTGAGTCGTGGGTGAGTGGAGGGGTGTCTTTCGTGTGTGCTCTGGACGGGTTCCTGGGGCTGGAGGCATTCATGTCCCCTCCCTGGGGTCCCACTTCTGTGGAAAGGGACCGAGCTGCTGTGGGGAGCCAGGCCTCGACAGTACGTCCAAGCTGCAGGTGGGGGAATTATCCCTCTCAGAGGTGTCTTAATCTCATCTCGTGGTGCATGATCCAAAGCAGTCCCTCCTTTTGCAAGGACAGTTCTTATCTGCGTCTTCCTCCCCCCTCCCCAGCTGTCCCTGTGCTGCTCGTGGCCTGGGCAGCAGTGGGCACTGAGCTGCCAGGGCCTGGTTCCACTTCCTCACCCACTGCAGGCTCCTTGCCGGCTGAGGGTGCCAACGGGACCAGGTATCTGTGGGTGACTCTGGCAGTGCCAAGGCCAGCTTTCACCCACATCCCAGCCATTCGCGTCCTCCTTGGGTGGTGACCGCCCGGCGGGCCCCAGCTGGGGAGCACTGATGATGCTGGGCTCACATCTGGCAGCACCTCAGGCCTTACCTGCCACCTGCCATTCTCAGGTGCGGGGTTAGAAGGGACACAGTTTCTGCTGAGCAAATAAATATGTGTCCAAACCGAGCCCCAAGGGTCCACCTCTCGGCTGCAGGCTCACCTGCGCTGTCTGAAGCTGTGCCTTCCCTGAATGTCACAGTAACTGCTGCCTGTGGGCCACCAAGTTGGGCCAGGCATTTGCAGGCAGATCTCATGAAACCAGAGAGTGAAGCCCTGTCACCCTGCCCAGATGGGCCAGCCGCGGAGCCGTGGCCCAACCCCCGGGCCCTCCGGGAGCCCTGACCTGGTGGCACTGCAGGAAGAGAACCTGGAGCACCAAGGGCCCAGGAGAGCCTGTTCTGGGGACGGCAGCGCCACTCCCCCTCCGCCATCCCTGGCTGAGGGGAACAGAGCAGGGTGCTCTGAACTGGCAGGGACCCGGCCACTGCAGTGAGAGGAACCCGAGGGGGAGCGGGGACCGTCCTGGCAGGGAACCTTCCAGGTCCGGCTCCTGTGGACCCAGGAATCCCTCCCCAGCAAGGCCACGAGACCACACCGAGGGCCCTGGGGTGGCTGGGCTTTGCTCTTCCATTCACTCGCCCAGATGCCTGCTCCCCGCAGCGACTGCACAGCCTCGCTGACCACGCGGGCTCTGCCTGCTGCTGACCACCCGCTGCCTCCGCGTGTTCATCTCACATACGTCAGACGCCACCCCCACTGCCCACCGCTCCCCCGATGTCGGCTCCTACCCCAGCGCTGCAGTCAGAAGCGGAGGTCATCCCCCAGTCACCCCCAGCCTGTTCCCTCCACCCCGCAGTTTGTGCCACAGCAGTGGCATGAGGTCACTGACTTTGCCTCCAAAACACGGACCCCTCCAGCTGCCCCTTGCCCTGCCGCCCTCCCCCTGGCACTGCCTTCGTCTGGGCCAGACTCCTGGGGCCCTCACCCCTCTGTCCGTTTGTCCCCAGGGCAGCCCTTCCCCCGCCGAGAGCCCTGCTCCTTGCCCCTGAAGAGCAGTACAGCTGGGTCGCTGCCTCCTCCACTCCTCGGTCTAGTGGACAGCTGGTCACTCAGCAGGGTGGTCTCTGACAGGCCACGCCCAGAGCACCTGTGAGGGGTGGCTGGCGACACAGGGCTGGGCGTGGGGCAGCTGTGGGGGCAGCTGAGCCTGTCCAGGAGCCCCACACAGTGCCGTCCTCCAGGGCGGGGTCTGGCGAAGGCTTGGCGGGCTGCAGAGGTCTTGCAGGAGCGGCTTTCCCTCCGGGGGGCAGGTGGCGTCCCTTCCGAGGCAACTGCCCCGAGCAGGAGCATGCTTCCACGGGCTTCTCTACTTCAGCTGGAGGTGGGTTTTAGGAGGCCACCTTCCATGCACTCCTGGAATCCCCTGAACCTCGCTGGACCTCCTTCTTCCCTTGGACACTCCTGGTTGCTGCTGGCCCGCCCCCTCACTGCCCCTGGCTCAGGCTGGCCCTGGTGCAGGTCAGCTTCTCTCTGCCCCGGGCCCTCTTTGGGCAGGCTCCTCACTTCCTGTGGAAGCGAGAACCACACTGACTCCTGTGAGCCCCTGAGCTGCAGCAGACATGGGCTGCCGTCCCCAGAAGGTCACACAGCACAGCCTCGGGGGCCGGGCCCCCATCCCTGCTCCACCTGCTCCTCGATCCCTCCTTCCCCCACGTCTGCCCGTCAGCCAGGTCTCCCCAGATCTCTCTCCACTCCTCCCCTAGTGGGCAGCATCCAGGCCACGTCCCGGGGCCCAGGCCACCACTGCCTGCGGCTGGGATGACCGTGGTGGGTCCCATCGCAGCCCCTGGCCCTGTGACCCATTTCTCACCCAGCACTGGATGGGTTCAGGTCATTAGGAAGCCCTGGGCTCAGCTGCCCCGGCTCCGGGGTTCTCTTCCGCCATAGCGGTCAGATGCCCCATGCCTCCTGCGTGTTGATCATGGGGTTTCTGCCTCCCCTGCTGGCCCCGGCCTGGGGGCACTGCCCTGAGCTTGTCCACCCTGTGTGCAAACTCGTTCTATCAGGCCACACCGTGGAAAGGAAAGGGCTATTGTCTGAAGGCCGGCGCCCGCAGGGACGAGAAATTCTGACTGCAGAGAGGACTGTAAACGCTGCCGTGTGCAGGCCAGCTGTGGTCACGGGGCGCCGTCAGGGTGGCTGCTGCCAGGCTGGGAGACTGATCCCAACTGTGTGCTCCCTGGGGCCCCAGGAGCCCCAAGAGACCAAGAGGCCCACCTGGCCAGTGCTCTGGGGGAGGGGCTGGGAGGCCAACGGTGCCCTCCAAACTCGCACCCCTCCAGCCAGGCTGACCCTGAGGCCAGGGGCCAGCTCTGGGAGTGACTTCCAAAGCCTTTATGTGGATACTAATTACAACAATTATGGCTTTATCAGCAAGATAAAGGTCGGCAGGCACCCGAGGGAGGGCGTCCTGGGCAGAGGCGCAGGGATGGGAGCGGGCAGACTGACCTCTCCGGGAGGGAAATGTCAGTTAATTATCCTTTTACAGCTGAGTCAATTAGACTCCCCAGTCACCTGTGTAGGACGCTGAGGCGCAGGCAGAGGGGTCGCAGGGCGGACAGGCTGGGAAGCCCGCACCGCGAGACGGCTGCCGCGGCTCAGGCGCCCCAGGAGGCGCTCGGGCCCAGGCCCAAGTGCTTCCCTCATTTAAGCGAATTCAAGAGATAAAACGTGATTGGCCCCGAGGGGAAGAGAGTGGCCCAGCGTGGAGGTGACCAGACACACTGCGTCGGTCTTCAAGGTGGACTCCACTAGCCCAGGAGCTGTGCTCACTGGGGGGCCTGGCGCAGGAGGCCCAGAGCTGCGAGATACGCAGAGCCGTCCAGGCCGTACCGACACGTGGGGTGGGGTCTTAAAGCCCCCCAGGGCTGTGCAAGGCCAGGTGGCACCTTTAGGCCTTCGCAAACTGCCTAGGCCACCAGCCAGGGGCTCCCTCTCTACTGTCCGCCCATCCAACCTGCTGTGGCCAGGGATGGCCTGGCTGGGCTTCCCTCAGTGGACGGAGTGCCATCCCCACTGGCCCA